ACTCCAAACCCTTCATACGTTAGTACGTTTTCCAAATCGAGTTTTGAAAGATATTAAGTTTCAGTGGTGTGCAAAAGTCGATGGATGACTGTATTACAAAAATCCCGCCAATCGAAAGTCAAACCGACCTCTATTCCTGGACCAGAGTGGTACCAGTTAAGCGGACTGCAGCAGCTCTACTAACGCCCGTCATTCCGTCCCGGTCCATGGGGATCTTTTGTATCACAATTGTCTTTGTTTGGCTAGGCGACGAGGAAGCACTCAAGGTCGTGTTGAAAACGCCGCAGTGGCAGTACTTGGACACCCCCATCGGCCGCCTAGCCCGCACCCTGACCATGTACTCGACGGCCAGCAGTGCATCGACCGCGAAGCAAGCCGTACGGTAGGACCGAGCGGCGTGCGATCGAATGTGACTGAGTGATTTGTGCATTTGTAGCCCCAACAATGCGCCACCCGCAGTCATGGTGGCTCCAGCGGCAGCCCCAGCAGTGGTGGCGTTGTCACCGGCCCAGCATGTCGAAGAGGCGGATGTGCTCGTTGCAACCGCCGCCGTGCCGGCCGAGCCTGCATATGCCCACGAGCCAGCAGCTTCCGAGTTTGACCTGACTTAGGACGCCCATCGGCAGCACGCACGAAATCTACCAATTCCTCCACCTGCACGGCATGATCTGAATGCTCTGTCCACGAGTTGTCAGCCGAGGGATGCACGTGAATTGGTCAGGTGCATCGTGTTATGTTGCATGACGGCCAGACGGCAGCCGGGTCGGCATTGCTAAGGAGTGCACGGTGGCTTGGCGCGCACCATTCGATAGCTACGAAGGTCTGGTAAAGTAAACTGACCCCACGTCAAAACGTGGACGAAAACTCATGGAAGACTTGGTCAAGGCCTGTACATGGTCGCGCAGGTTCGTAGCAAAAGGATCCTTGGCGACAAATCAAATGATCTTGCAAAAGCAGTGGCGAATGTGATGCCTCGATGGGCTACTGAGTTCCACGGGAAAGGGAGATCTCGCAG